TTTTTTCAACTGCTGGTCTTCACTGTTGGAAAAATACTGTTACGTCATCACAGTGTCTCTGGAAGCAACTCGTTGGCACATTTTATAGATCTGAAGATTGATTTGTTCTTATCTTCCTACTGCAATAAAAAAGAGAAGTGATAAGGTAATTTTTCTTTCTTTTCCTGTGTGTCAGTTTTGGAGAGCATTCTAGTATGGGCGTGGCTTATTTACCAATATGTATACTGTACTGTACTGGGATATTGAAAAGAAATGCCCAGATCAATGGTTACACAATACATCATGAGCATTCTTTTTTTGGATGACGCTGGATAATATTGTACAGGGTGTCTCAAAAAATGTATACTATGGATTTTCGTGGAGATACTGTGAATGTTTGTATGACAAGAGCAACATTTTCCTCACTTGTGGGAGACCTCACACATCAACAAGTGAGGACAATCTGAGACAAGCATTTCCATGATCTCCACAAGAATCTGTAAGGCAGTGTGTGTGTGTACATTTTGATGAGACACCCTGTATATTCTTTAATTCCTTTTGACGATTCAACTGCTTTGGGAAATTCTTTTGGTGGCTGTTTCAAGAAAGTCCTCTTTAGTGTGCTTGTTACCTCTTGTCCAAACCAACATCACTTTTCTATGTCCAAACCAACATCACCTCTCTATGTCCAAACCAACATCAAAGTACTGCATTTGTTTTAATCCATTCTGATACTGGCTTGTACTTTGAGCAGTGGGGAGCTGTATGATGTAGTTATTCATGAGATATTTAAACATGGCATTCTTACCACCCTTTGACATGTGCCTGGGTGTTGGTGGTACAGTGTTAGAGTGCTTGCCTCTCACTACTGCGGCCTAGGTTATGAATCCCCAATTTGGATGAGAAAAATGTTATATGTGTGACTTTATGAAACATCACACCAGAATTTATAAACTTAATGGGATCAGATGATTGACTAAAATATGTACAGTAATTCTATATTCTGTACAATAATTTATTTTAAAGAACCATTATCTGAAAATCAAAATGGATTTAGAAAGGAAAAAGGAAGATTTATAGAGTATTAGAATTTTGAGTGAACGCCTTAGAGAGCCGAAGAAGTTTGTATATTTGCTTTATTAATTTTGAAAAACCTTTTGATAATGTACAACACAATGAACTTATAGAAATCTTGGAAAAAATATACAGTAATGAAGGAGATTTTAGTACAGTACTGTACAGTACAGTATTGTAAAAAAAAAAAAATCTTTACTGGCAACAGGAGGCTGCTCATTGGTTCACAGACGAGTAAGACAAGACTGTGTTCTATCTCTAACATTGTATAATATATATTGTATTCAGAATTCTTATTGAGGGGCATTCTAAGTAACAATGAAGGACTAAAAGTTAATGGTAAAGTATTATCAAATGCTCTTATTACAGATACTGAAGAGGCATTACAAAAACTGATTAACAGATTAGTGAAAAGGGATAAAGAATATTGGTTAAGATTTAATGCTGTAAAGACAAAAGTAATGGTTGTTTCTAAATTAAAAATAAATCATAGAATAAGAAATATGCTAGACAACAGGGAAGTTAACAAGTGGAAAATTTTGTGTATTTGGGGATTAATATTAACTGTGATGGTAGATGTGTGAAAGAAATCATTAGAGTAGGTCAAGCAAAACCAGCATTTAATAATCTAAAAGAACTAATAAAATGAGACAGTCAGTTTAATTGGAGATAAATGCTGCTGAAAGGCTATGTAGTATATGGTCAGGACTATTGTATGGGTCAGAAGTGGGGGCGGTACCATTGATTGAGCAAATTGTAACGCAAACAGTAATCTCTTGACTAATAAATGGCAAATGTTAACTTTCCAATGGGATTTGTCTTGTTCTTGAGGCTTCCTGTAGCACTGCCACCTGGTCTGGCTCACTTTGGGTCAAGAAAACCATCTGATAAAGGGAGTCAGCCAAAATGGACAGTTATTCCTGAAAATCATTTTTCTGGTGAACTTCACAACTTTGTTAGGAACTGAGTTAAATATGTTAGATTGATCTGAACAAGGCGTCAGAGCCTTAGTTTTGACAGTCTGACAACCACAATAAGACTTCCTGCCCTCCTGATTAATCCATGTTTGGGCAATGGTTATCTTAAGGAAATTAAAGTGTAATTGGTTTACCCATTTGTGTTAAAACTTCAGCCAGAGATTGATGAATTTAAAGGTCTGAGGATACCGAACATCTCAATTAGCTCCTTGTAGTATGCAAAGCTGCCGGATTATGGCATCACCAGTAAAATGGATTTCACACTTTATCCTTTAACTCCTTCATTATGGGGGATGCCACATTTAACATTTTACTTGGCTAATGCTAGACAATTTTATTCAGTTCAGAGGGGAGGCTGCACACAAGGGGCTAATACCCATTATTCTGTATCCTTATAAAAAAACACAGATTCTTCTTCCCAGTTCAATCTTGTATGCTAAAGGGCCACTAAACTCAGTAACACATGCACTGGAAACCTCATCAAAACTAAGAAACTTATGACACATATATTAATCTGTGAACAATCTTATCTCCCCCCCTCAGTGCTGGAGAAACACACCCTTCCCCCCTCATAAACCCTAAGACCAGCACTTGACAGATATTGAGACATTTTTTTTTGGGGGGGGGGCCTCATCAGAGTAGCGGCACAGTGTACAGTCATCAAGTCACTTTGTACCCACTAATGGCATCTTTCTTGCCATTGGTCAATTCTGCCCCCATCCCCATGGAAAGGTATTTCATCTCCCTCCCACTACCACCCCATAGCTGTGACATCAGTCATCGTCAAAGTTGTGGAATGTCATATACTGTACAAACAAGTGTTCAGATGCCTTGAAAAACACACTCCTCCAGGACACTCCATAATGTTTCTGTTCCAGCTTTACTATATCACAGCTGCTTGCTATCTTAACTCAAACCCATGACATATTCAGTGATATTTATTATGCCCCAACGTATTTCACCTGATTACCTGATTAATTTTGCTATGAAAAAATTAAAGTAATGTTTTGAACTTTGAAATGTTTTTATTACATTAATTATATTTAGAAAGCATGAGACTTCCACATCTGGTATTCATATTTATCTTGAAACAGAATTTTAAAAGTGTTGACATTTGCCTCAACTATTTTGTTATGGGTTAATTCTAATTTAAGAGTGTGTTTATTATGTAATACGTCGCAAATTATTATTTACGGGTAATAGAAAGCCGTAGTCTATAACTCTCCTGTCAGAGTCTTAAATGCTGAAGAAATAGGAGATGATTACCTGATGGAAAATTTAACCTAACCTTACTTAAACTAAACTTAAATCCCATAAACATAGGCAAGAGTCGCCCATAGGCAAGAGTCTCCCATAGGCAAGAGTCTCCCATAGGCAAGAGTCTCCCATAGACAAGAGTCTCCCATAGACAAGAGTCTCCCATAGGCAAGAGTCTAACATCCATAGGCAAGATTCAGCACCCTAATGCTACCTAGGGCTTGGGGTTGAGTTAGCATTTAGGGTGTTTAATCCTCAGGTGAAATAAGCTAAAAGGGCTAATCTTTATGTGATCCAAAAGCTGTATGTTTATGCTCATAACTCTTCTGAAGATGACACAAGCCAAGATATTTACAGTAGATTCCATTTTTCAACCAAATTTAATGTGGAAAGTCTCACACTGCATACATGTATAGTAGTTAGTGAGTGTGTGTCCATGCGTGCGTGAGTGTATGGATGCGTTTGTGTGCATGCATGCGTGAGTGCATACATTCATACTACAGTACAGTAAGGTCTTGTATTTCGCGAGTAATATAGACTGGAAAAATTGCGCCAAATTCCAATTTGCCAAATGCAAATACATAAAGTAATGGGAAAAATAACAATATAGAGGCCACTCTACATCAACCTCTGATTTTCCCATTTATAACCTCCAAATGATACAAATTCTGCCTTTATTGTCTTGATTGCACTTTCCAGAAATTAGAGTTTAGGCCTTCCTCAAGTAATTTAATCACACGCTGCTTATCCTGCATCAAGTACTTGGCAAACTTAACTCCCTCATGATAGTCCCTCTTCTCCTTTTCCTTATTTGGCTGCTTAGGTGGGTCTGTCCCACCCCCCCCAACACCAGTAGGACCCCCAGTAGAGGTAGAGGCCATTATCTTGACTCGACAGGTGGTAGTACCACCCAAAAAAAGCACACAAGAACAGCCCTGTCGGTCGCTAGGATGGCACGGGCTACAACGCGATAGTTGCATTCTTGTAAACCTCTTTTACGTTCACCACCGGCATTTTGATCACCAGAACACTTGGGAACATTCTTCTTAACTTGTTTTTCCGTATTCATCGCTAAAAAAAAAAATGGAGAAAATAGCGAAAATCACGGAGTAATTGACAAAAACCACGCGATTCAACTGATAACGTGATGTAAACAGAGCAATGGTGTAAACCGTTATTAGTCCTCACTGCGAAACATTCTTTTTATTTATTCTTTTCATACAGTATTTATGGGTAACACCTAAATTTGCAAAAAAAAAAAAAAATAACAGAGTACCTCACAAAAAACACTTCACAAACAAAAGACACGAGTCAATTGAATATGTGATGTCGAACGTGAACTGTAAACATTGCATAACCCCGCGCCACGCTTAAAACGTTGAGGATGGAATCGCACTATAGCCAACAAGTTGGCGTTTTACAAACAGCGTTCCCCTATTCATCAACCGCGTTGCAACCAATTCGCGTTGACAAAACACTCGTAGCAGAAATGACTGTAACTGGTATGAGGGCTGTGACGTCATTCAAGACGGTGGCCAGCATTCAGCTTGCTGGATCTCGCGAAATTCACGATATTTTATGCCAAATATGACTTGGTTACATTAGGTAGTGCTCGCGAAATGAAATCGCGCGAAATATGAGATCTTACTGTATATATATAAACTCAGTGTCAAAAACTTAATCAGGTTACTTTACTTAGCCATTGTGTTTCAGAAATGTGTGACCTGTACACGTTGCACAAGTTGTGGCAGTCCCAATGTGGCTCAATGGCAGAAAGTTCCAAACCGGATGAAACCATTGGAGGTGACCATGGGGGAGGAGTCTCTCACTATGGACCTAACTTTTTGTGCTCGATGTGTTACTCTCAGGGAACGGGGCAACTACTGTCCTCTGTGTAATGGCTGCTATGAAGATGATGATTATGATGCAAAGGTTTGTTGGTAATAATGTTTCTGTAGTTATTTGTTTTTTGTGTTGTTAGACCATCAGTATAACTGATGTACTTGTGAATTACTGTTATTCTTGGAAGTATTATACTGTGAGACAAATGTAGGGTTATCAAGGAGAATATTTTATTTTATGTGATTTTCTTTCTCAGTAGATTTAAAACTATATTTTTAACCCACTGCTGTCATAATAGCTGCTCAATGTGTCCTGGGGTCTAACAAGACTAGTAAAAGTGGAATGCTAGCTTGTTAATACTACCATGTCTGAGACAGGTCAAACCACAAGGAAGGATTCCTGGAAGACCATTGCCTGTAACTTTGTAACTTATAACCTTATTTTAACTCAGCAGCCGGATGACTCCTGAAAAATTGGACTTAAAATAGTGGCAGGGTAATGTATTATCTTGTGTTAACATTGTTGATATTTTAATGGCAAATGTCATTGTTTGCAGATGATGGAGTGTGGACGCTGTGGGGAGTGGATACATGCTCACTGTGAGGGCCTCAACAATGAACGCTACCAGATTCTTAGCTTCTTGCCAGACACAGTGGAGTATGTTTGCCGGAACTGTGTGATGGACGCTTCATCTAGCTGGTTGGATGCAGTTGGGAGTGAATTGTTGGCTGGCTGTGAGGCAGTCCTACAGGCTCTTCTTGCTAGCAGATGTGCAAAGCATCTGGTTAAGAGAGAAGCTTTCAAAGTGTCTTCCTCAGGAGGTGTGACCCCTGTACCTTCTCTGCCTGCTATTGGGACCTCTTTACTGGAAAGAAATGAGGAGGCACATCTGGAAAAGATGGAAGATGGTGACAATCTGGCGTTCATTGCTAGTACCAACACTGTTGTGCCAGTGGAACCTCACAGTGCATTATCTTCAGAATGTTATCCATCTAGGGAGCTCCTCTACTCAGGAACATGTGGGACTGTTGGCACTGATACAGATGCCAACTTTCCTATATCAGAGGTTAAGGGTGTCATAGGCTCTAGTGGTATTAATCAGGTGAAGAGTTCAGTTGACAGAGTGAATGTTGACTCAACCCAGACCTTGTATAAACCTACCAGGGATACGTCAGAAAAAGGCAAACCCTTGGCATTTTCTTTGTGTTCTGTGAAAGTAGATGTAAAAGACAGTCCTCAGGAAGAAGCAGTTGTATTGAACAATCCAGCTGCTGAGCCCATGTTGTGCCCAGATTACAGTGAACTTGAAAATGTGGCAGCTAATAGTAATACAGGTAAAAGTTGTTGTATAGCAGGTGCAAAAGACAAGATTGATCTCAAAGGAAAACCTGGAAAAGATAAGTGTGAAGAAGAGGTCCTACTACTTCCTCGAAGACAAACCCGCTCTTGTTCGGCAGGTGTAGCCCTCACCTCTGCTGCCTCCAGTAGTGCTTCCACTGACCCCATAAAGTTGAAGGAATGCTCCGTGCGTTTAGAGGATATATGCAAGTCAAAATCTCCCTCCTCATCTCCAATCAAAACTCAACCAAGTGAACAAGATTCTACACTGAAAACAGAAATTGCAACATGTAAAGAAATTGAACCATTTAAATCTCAGGAAGAAGAAGCCAGTACAAAGTTGACATGTAGCAAGGCATTAGAGTGTTTGGAGACACTGGAAGATAAGGAAGTGGAGGGAGTGACAAGAGAGGTACTGCAGGGTATAATTTTAAAAGACACAGATGTATCTTGCACACAAGTGGATGGCCCAAATGATGAAACTACAGCAACTGCTCGGGTTATAAGAAATCTTTTCTTTGAGGATCGCAATCAAATGGTGTTGGATACCACCAGTCTTCTTGAAAGTAAAAATGAAAATATTGAAGAGAAGAACCTTGCTCAAGTGGAGGCTCAACTGATTAGTCCAAAAGATAAGATAACGAAAGATATTGATGATGATTGTGTCAGCAGTGAGGAAAGTTCCTTTTGTGATACAGACACAGAGATTGAGAGTATCCAGGATGACCCGGAAGAACCAAGAGATTTACTCTCTGTAAAAGAGAAACTGAAGGAGCGGAAATATGATTCGGTGCTGCAATTTCACGTCGACATGGCGAGAGTCATAGAAAATGGCAGGCATCTCAATCGCAGCCAGTCTCGTAATGTCCAAGCAACTTACACGAAGCACATGAAAGAATGTTTCCCGTGGTTTGATGTGAAAACTGCAAATGTATTTGAGTTGGTAGATAAGCAGAGACCATTCCCAATACCACATTTGGATCATAATTACATATTCCGCACCATGATGGCTGGCAATCGTCACTTCACTATGCGTGATGCTCCCATATTCAGGAAGCGATCCGCAAGCCCACTGAAAGGCACCCTTCTGTCTCCTCCGGACCGCCGGAAATGTGTTCTGTGTGGGAGAGAGAGCGACGATGACCCTAATTCTGCCGGTAGACTACTCTACCTCGGACAGGACGAGTGGCTTCACGTAAACTGTGGACTCTGGTCATCAGAAGTGTACGAAGAGGTGGACGGAGGCTTACAGAATGTGTATCTGGCAGTGAGCCGCGGTCGCCTCATCAAGTGTTCGGCTTGTCTGGAGCGGGGTGCAACAGTAGGTTGCTGCCATAAAACTTGTCAGGCAACCTACCATTTCCTCTGTGCAAGACGGAGTTGTTGCCAGTTCATGGAAGATAAGCGGATCTTCTGTCCTCAGCACGAGAGCACCTCCAATGGGGAAGAGAAATCAGATGATTTTAAAGTTAGTCGGTGTGTTTATGTAGACATGGATTCTGAAAAGAAAAAATGGAAACAAGTTCCTGGTAACCGGGTAAGCATTACCATAGGTTCTCTAACTATTAAGAATCTTGGTAGAATCATCCCAGAATCGGATAGTGCCGAGGCTCTTATTCCCGTGGACTTTACTTGTAGTCGTATGTACTGGAGCACCATCGACCCTTCTCGTAGGGTCGCGTACACCTGCCGAACTAGGAGAGTGGTACCGACCCTGGAAGATGCTTCGCTTGTGGGAGATGTAGCTTTTCACAAAACCATCGACCATTCATTAGGGGAGGAAACTGTTCACGAGGAGATGGCAGCTGTCAAAAAGTGGTTCAAACAACTCGAGGAACGAAAGGTGGAGAAGAAGTCACGTGAGACGAACATCATTCCTCCTCACCTTTGCCCTTTGTATTGCAGCATCAGAGAAAGAGAAGAGGAAACCAAAGTTGTAGACAAAGTGGTTCGTTGCCGAACTCCACCGGCCATTGTAGAGTCAGATGTTCGACAGTGTATTGAGGACATAATTGACAAAGTTAGTCGATCTGTGGAAGAAGAAAGTTTACTTTTGGACACAGACTTACCAGCTATTGTTAGTGCTGATGACAATGAATTGATATCCATGGTGCTGAATGATCTTGATGGATGTGACCCTATCACACTACAGTCTACCCCCTCAACCTCAGGCAGACCAAGCCCACTAGATATTGAATTCCTGACCACCTGCGATTCTATAATGGACTCAGGGAAAGTGACTCACTCAGGAAACATGACTCAGGAGGCTCAGGAAACAGATTGTGACCCACAAGTGATATTGGACACCTCCCTCCCACCTGATAGTAACCCAACCCACGACTCCTACCAGGTGGAATCCCTAAATGCTGATGTTAAAGAACCCATAATTGAGATTGTATCTCCTCCTACTACTCAAGATCTTGGTCCTGTGCCTTCAAGTTCGGTGTCATTGCCCAATGCCAATAATGGTATTACTCAGAGTTCAGCTGTAAATGACAGCAACTGTAATGTCACTAATTCAGGTAATAGCTGCAACACTTGTAGCAGTGAGAGCAAGAGTGATAGCACAAGCAGTAGTAGTAGCAGTAGCAGTGAAAGTTCCAGTAGCAGTAACACAGCGAGAGAAAGTAGTAGCCCAGAACGATGTTCTGAAGGCACCATGAGTAACACCAGCAGTCCAGACACTAGTTCCAGATTAAGCTCTGACAATAATGTCAGTAATGATTTAAACAATGGCAGTACCGATAGTAACAGTGGTAGTGAAACGTCGTTTCAGGGTACTGGCTGTGGTGCTAAAAGCCCATGCACCTCTTCTTCAGGAAAAACTAGTTCCTCTTCAAAGCAGATCTGTAGAGTTTTACCCATGCCCTCCACAAACAGCAGGCGATCCTCGTCAGCCAGTGAACACAGTGATTCGGTTGGACAGACGGGATCAAACCAATCTCCCATAACATCCCAACAGTCGCCGAGAAATTCAGACGAGAATGAAGGAAGCAACAGCACTGGACGAGGAAACGAACGGAAGAAAATTTGCATGAAGAGGAACTACAAGACTGTTATTAAGAAGTATCCTCTTAGAAGTGGCATGAGGAAGAGTAAACCTTATGAAACTGTACAGATCGAGATTAATGAGACCATTGAGATACCGGGAGGAGAAGGATCTGGTGTGGTGCACAAGAGTTTGAAAAGAAAATGGAGTGGAATCCTGGACTCAGAAGAAGATGAAGAGAACTGTCAGAAGGACCCAAATGGTGATCAAGAAGGGCAAGATGAGTCTACAAATCATGGAAGCGATGCAGAGAACTCGAAAGAAAATTCCGTGTCCAAGAAAGTTTTGAAATTCACCGACGACAACAATGACATAACCGTTAGTATTGTCAACAACAACAACAACCTCTGTGAGTTTTCCAAGTCGCGGGGCCACAGATACCGTCACAAGACCGTGCTGCAGTTGGATGGTGCGGCCGATGGCTCTTCTTCCAGTGCTGAAATGAGTGAGAGCCAGGATGAGGGAACGGGAGAAGAGAGGCAAAAGTCTCAGAATCAGGATGACCCTCAGACGCCACCTCTTCACTCGTCATTAGCTATGCGTATTAAGGAGCAGAGTCTGGCCAGAAGCTCGCCAGGAGAGGAAGGTCCCTACAAGTGTTCCAAGTGCAAGAGACTTTATAGGTAAGTCCTTGTTTAGAGCATTAGTGCAGAGTTTGTTTTGGATTGCGGAAAGATTAACCCCCAGCTTGTTTTACCTGATAATTAAACACCCTAATGCTACATGGGGGGAGGGATTGGGTTAGATTAGCATTAGGGTGGTTAATCTACAGGTGAAATAAACCGAGGGGGGGGCTAATTTTTTTGTATCCCTTATACTTATTTGTATCTTTCGTGCCTGTCTGTGTATGTTGCTGTGTCAAGTAGTGCACCTCTTGTGTCTGTTCACAAAGGGTGGGTCAGGTTATGTACCTCTCATAAGTACCTTCATCTTACTCTTTGACTGAGATAGAAGTAGGAGTCAAAATATATGTTGTCAAAGATCGAATAAGATACTTTTATAGGTACTCCTCGACTTACGACCACCCGGACATACGACCTCCACAGTCATATAAAATATTTTCAAATTACGTATTTTCGAGTCCCGACGTTAGTGATCATGCTGTGTACTGACAAAATTTTCGTTTGTAATTCTCTTTAAAATGACTGGCAAGTGTGAAAGTGAGAGTTCTCGTGGTGCTGAGAAGAAAAAGAGACACCCATTTTAGAATTTCTATGTAATATTTTCGCATTTTCGACTTACGACCAATTTGACTTACGACCTGGTCATCGGTCCCTAACCCCGTCGTAAGTCAAGGACTGACTGCATTTCAAATGTTGTGATTGCCTTCCTTCCTTTATTTTTTGTTGTTGTTTGTCTATTTCTTGTCCACAGCTCATTTGTTTCAGATAATTCACCATCTTCACAGCTGCTAAGAATACAATATATCTTCTCCCTTTTCCTGCACGATTATCCTTCTCTGTTCCCTCCGTGTTTTAAGGGAATTGTCACTCATTTTGTCTTGGTGATGATGGGGAATCCTAAGACCCTGGCTGTCAGTTTGTTTATATCAAATTTTGTAGTTAACTTTACACTTAAAATTGTTACTATCTTTTATAGAAAATTTAGATTTTGTTTTTTCCAATGCAGTTTATGGAATACTGTATTATATTTCCAGGACGAAGGAGAGCTATGAGAAACACATTGAGACCTGCACTTTTGAGGTTGATAGTTCAAGCACCTCAGAGGACGATGATGATGATTATGAGGACATCCAGTCTGAGGTAGAGGAGGAGGCAGATGGTGACCTCATGCATCATCGCTGTGATAAGGTGCAACTAAATCCAGATGGCTCTGTTGTGTCCATCATTGACACCAGTGGGGACCTGTCATCAGTGGCTCTACCTGACACTTCCTCTCCACAAATCTCAATTCAAGAATCTACAACAAGTCAAGAACTTAATATGATAGGAAATCTTGTGTTCAGCATAGAACAACAGAACATGTCTGGCAACTTAGTTCATCAAGCTCATGAGCCCAAAACTACAACTTTTGCAGAATTGTCAGGTAATACAAGAATGGGAGGTGAAGAACCTGCGGTAAAGAAGCAGAGATTAGATGCAACTTTACCCCGTCAGCCAGGCGTTCACAGACAGGTGAGGACGGCTATCAAGAAGTGTGCAACTAGCAGTGAGGATGTTGAACTACTACAAGTTGTGCGCGGTCCTCCCCCTCCCGGCACAGATGTATTTGTCCCTCCTCCGGTGTCTCCAGTAAAATTTAGCCCCATAGTGAAGAAAAGTGCTAGTCCAAGGCGTTATACCAACATCCGACTGTTGCGAGGAAGTCGTGGGTATCATTACCGCCGTGCAGCTCCACACATGCCACCTCAAGAACACTACCAAGGTGCAAGTTCTGGCATGGCAATGGCACCTCCTGCTACTCCTGCTCCAATTCAAGTCACTATGCATGCTATGGCCAGTACTTCAGGCCAGATAATAACCCAGGGAGGGCCTGCTTCTTTTCAACAGTTTGCTGGGCAGTCAACTCAGTACCCATCTACTGCCCAGCTGGCTTCTCCTGTTAGTCACTTGAGCCCTGCCCTACAGGTGGCACCCCAGGTCACCTCCCAAGTGGCACCTCAAGTGTCACCTCAGGTCAGTCCCCAGTTGTTGACCATGGTGTCTGCTCCCTCTGTTGCCGTCCCACAAGGCTACACGCTGCAGTATGTTGGGAGCTTCCGTGACGGTGAAATGACTGCAGGCGGAGGAAGTCTAATGACATACCCGACAGCACCAGTGGTAGTGCCGCAGCCACAGTTAGTTATGACCCCTCAGCAAAGCTCTATGGTTGTACCACAAGTTGTTAACACCAATATAACCTACTCTTTTACTGCTCCAGAAACACTGGTCATAAATCAACCAACCATGGTACCAGGAATGCAGTCAGTTCAGTATCTACCACAGCAGCAACAGCAGCAACAACAACAGGCACCAGTGATGCACCACACAGAACAGCAAGTTATGCAGTACAACCAGACAGGATTATCTCCTCAACACACACAAGTAACAGCTTCACACATGCACACTGGGCAAGTACACACACCATGTATTCAGTTCTCAGACCTTCAAACTGGTCAGATGTGCATGCAGCAGCAGCAACAGCAGCAGCAGCAGCAGCAGCAGCAGCAGCAGCAGCAGCAGCAACAGCAACAGCAACAACAACAACAACAACAACAACAACAACACCAACAACAACACCACCACCACCATCACCACCATCACCACCAGTCACATCTATCTTTAGCTTCAAGAGAACTAACATTTACTAGTAGTGGCTCGAAACAGTTTCACTCTCCACAGTGCATGGTAAACTCCTCAAATAGAGGGAGTATGGACATGTCATCACTCACCATGCCCATTTCCTCTACCATTGGTACCTGCTCCGTCCCAACTCCCCGTCAACGCCCCCAGGCTTCTGTAGCTCCCCAAGTAATTCGACCACAGCCAGTACATACTACCATACCGGCAGATACCGGTCTACTGGATACTCCAGGGCATTCTCGTTTGCCATTTGCAGATAGACCTTTAGTTGGTGGAGTAAGAACGGTAGCTACTGTGGCACCGGCAGTCATCACCACCACTTCTGTGGTGTCACTCTCTACGTGCAGCTCAACAACTAAACTTACATCAGTTGAAACCAGCCCCAAAATAGCCACAGTAAGACCAAGACCTACTTACAGTTACCGCGATGCAATGAGAGACAAGCAAGGTGACAAACAGAAGAAGCGGCAAGAAATTGTACAGAGTGACAAGGTGAATGTTCCAGAGGGACATGCAGACTTTATGAAGGAACAGGAGAGACTGGACACTCTTGCTTCTGACTCAGAAACCGATTCTGAAAATGATGCAGCTTGTCTAGATGCTGAAGAGAAAGACGATAGATTGGAAACGCAGTCATACAAACTCGTGTTACGCAAAGATAATTCCCTGAGTTCAGGATTTAATGTATTACCAATATCAGGACCTACTGCTCCCTTACCTGCTCCAGAAGTTAAAGAATTAAGAATAAAGGCAAAAGTTTCAGTGGGCCCAAAGAGAAAAAAGGCTAAAAATCATGACCCAGAAAAAGATCTTATTATTGTCAACAAGGACACTAACAGTGACCTGTTTGTGAATGAGCAGATACCTAATTTATCCATAAACCCTATGCATAATTCATCAGATGATCCTGCAATGTTTGATAGGCCCAAGACTTGTAATACTGAGCCGTATATTGTATTTGAGTTGACATCGGAGGACGGTTTCCGTGTGGAATCCCGCCACATATCAGAGGTGTGGCAGAAGGTGTTTGATGCTGTTGCTGCGGCAAGAGCAAGCATGCGGGTTGACTCCAAGATGCCAACCAATTTGCAACAGACCGGGGGAGCAATGTCGGGTCTTCACATGCTAGGCCTGACTCACAATGCTGTGCAATATCTTCTGGAACAACTGCCTGGAGCAAAGGACTGCCACAAGTACTCATTCCAGGTAAGTCCACTTATTTTCAATATGTGTTTTGATAAAATAGAATTATAATAACTTTTCCCTAGTATGTATAACATTAACTTTTTGAAGTTCTTAATTTTTGTGATGTAGTGATGACTTGTTGCATCACCATTAGGGGTTTCTAGTGTGTAGGAAAAGAACTTTGGTGTTTACCATATTTGTATCTATAAACATCCTCTGTGATTATGTTAATAGCTGTTAATATGGGGCCCAGGTTCTAGTACCCTGTATCACTCTTAATGGACCTTAATTCTAGTGGATAGTTGAGGGCCTTTTAGGATGGGCAAATTTAACCGAAGTCACTCGAGCATATTATGTGAGCTGGAAATGTTAGTGTATAAAAAATCAGATTTATTGAAAGAGATAATATGGATGGAATTGTCTATATAGACTCATAAACTTCTTAAACATTTCAACACAGGCATTTCAGATATTAAAATTTTTGATCATACAGACTTGAAATACCCATGTTGCAAAATTTTATGAACATTATTTTATTTTTCTTTATTGTATTGATCAACAGTTCCATCGAAGACCTCAGGAAGAAGGAGCAGTCGAAGAAAACCCGACTGGCTGTGCTCGTACAGAACCCTTCAAAACGCGCTCCCCGTACGATATCTTCAGCTGGCTGGCTTCAAAACATAGACGTATGCCAGAGCGTTCACTAGTACAACAGGAAGAGATACAGCTCTCTACCACCAGGTGTGTTGCCTCATTCATTTCATGCAGGTGTTTTTTGATAGAAGATAAATTATGGAATACTGTACGTATACATTTTGTTTAATGTGTAATTTACCGGTATAATAATATGCAATTGTGTCGGTGGTGTGAAGTTGTATGGGCGGTGTATGGCAGTTAAAGGCCTTCTGAGAATTATTAAAGAAATGCTGGAAGATAGAGAGTGTACAATATAATGATTAAAGCTGGGAGGGAGGCAAGATTGTACTGTACTTTTGCTCTCAGAAGTAGTTTCTTGCTGTTCAGAATCCTCTTGACCTAGAGAACGATCCTTTGTTCAGTAAAAAATGGACCAAGTTATATAATGAAAGATATTTGGATTTTATTTTTACTTGTTTTCAATTTACATAATATGGGTTTTAATTCTGTTTAAGTTACATGATGCCACTTTGATGCTCTAATAAGGATTTGTCAAAATATATAAATAAAAAAAAATAATATCCACCAGACGTGCAACAAGTCTGGAGTTACCAATGGCCATGCGTTACCGACACTTACGAGAAACAGCCCGAGAAGCCGTGGGCGTCTTCAGGTCCAGTATACATGGCCGTGGACTGTTCTGCAAGCGTGACATTGATGCTGGTGAAATGGTCATTGAATATGCTGGTCAAGTAAGTAATATAATGTTAATAAGGTTTGGCTTGTCAAAAGTTTTCTTATTTTATGGATCCAAGAAATGGCTAAATATTTGAGTAAATATATTATTATTATTATTATTATTATTATTATTATTAACACAAACAGCAGTCATCATTAGTAAAAGTTAGCTGTAGGGATGGCAGCCATCATCAGTGGGTGTTTCACATTGCGTCTGTTGTATTTTTGTTCGTATGAGGACAGAGTAGGGAAATCATCAACACTGTTTAAGGTTGAGGAGGACTTTTGTGGGGTGACTGTATGGATCAAGAGCACAGCCTCGCTTGTTTTCAGTGTACATAACAGTTAACATTCAAGAATTTTACTTGTAATTTTCTTCATAAAATCACTTCACATTGTGCATCATCAATTGAGGTTTTTATTGTCATTTAAAGTAAAACCTCACTGATGGGAATTTGAAATAGAAAAAAAAATGTTTTTAATACCATTTACAGTAAGACATCAGTGCAGTGAAACCTCTTTTTAATGGACTATATGGAGAGAGAAGTCATTACAGCTCCTCCTCGACTTACGACGGGGTTAGGGACCCAAATCCAGGTCGTAAGTCGAATTGGTCGTGAGTCGAAAATGCTTAAATAATACATAGAAAATCTAACTGGGTGTCTCTTTTACTTCTCAGCACCACAAAACTCTCACTTTTAAGCTTGCCAGCCATTTTAAAGTGAATTACAACCGAAAATTTTGTCAGTGTACTAACGTTGGGACTCGAAAATACGTAATTTGACAAAATTTTGGTACGACTGAGGCAGGTCATAAGTGCGGGTGGTCATAAGTCGAGTAGGTCGTAAGTTGGAGAGGAGCTGTATATGGAGATTACACTGTAATTAATATGAAATACAGTAATAGGGTACAAACAAATTTACTAAGTTCAGAATTTCATACAGCCTCTTAATCATTCAACCTTTGTTTGATTTAGGTTGAACAGTTCAGTAGATATGAATGCAAGTGAAGCTTATATCTGAGGAGCTCAGAGCAGCCTGTTGATAAGAGACAAAAGTATAATAAATAGCAGAAAACACAATTAAGGTTTAGTCTCTTTGAAATAAGTATAATGGTAAATACATCTCAAGTTACTGTGTCGTTTGTCTTGTCCGTGCCCAGAAATATGACCAACAAGATGGTGAATACACTTGGATCTAAAACTTATTAAAAGCATTAGGAATATAATCAACCTGTTTTAGAAGCATGTGTTATTAGACTGTACTTAACTCAAGTTTTTGTTTCAGGTTATCCGCTCCAGTCTTTGTGATATGCGTGAGAAAGATTATGAGTCCAAAGGCATTGGCTGTTATATGTTCCGCATTGATGATGACACAGTGATTGATGCCACTATGCATGGCAATGCTGCAAGATTTATCAATCATTCTTGTGATGTGAGTAATATTTTGATAAGTAAACAGCATGTCTCATAACAAATCTGAGCATTTCTGTTATTTTACATACAGGTATCCCTCGAAATTTGTGGTCAGGTCTATGTAAGCAGAACCATCATAAAATGCCAGGAGGAACAAAGATCCCTTCCCCTACCCAGTTTTTAGGCTTGAGAAAATTAAATCTGTTTTTGTAGGTTCAGTCTTGTCATTTCTCAAGGAGTTCAATCTTTAGTTGCCATATTGATTTCTAATATTTCATTCTAGTGAAGCACTGTGCATAACTTCCAAGTTGAGTCATCACTTTTACCTTTTCCAGTTTAATTTAATTTCTTGGTATTAATTGAAGTGTATTAACTGTTCCCCATCATTTATTTCAGCCTAATTGTTATTCCCGTGTAGTGGATATCTTGGGCAAGAAACATATCATCATATTTGCCCTGCGGAGGATCCTTTGTGGAGAGGAACTTACCTATGACTACAAGTTTCCTATCGAGGAGGACAAGATCCCCTGCACGTGTGGCACCCGAAGATGTCGCAAGTACCTCAACTGAAGCCCTCCAGGAATGCAGCTGTCTCCCTCTCAGCCTTGTAATCTCCGTAATCATTGCTATCTGTCCTTGCTGCTAAAGGCTTACATACTAATCTGCATCAAAGGTACCAAGAGCAAGATTGAAACCCAGATAAAAATTATTGAGGACTGATTTGGGTCAAAGGAAGTTATTTCATGATGGATATATGTATTGAAGAGAATATACCAGTGTCCAGAGTTATTATTGAGATTTACTGTACTAAAAGGATTTAGATATAAAAAATCCCCCATTTGTTATAGCTTTCAGTAAAACTGAATAGCATCTCTGATCTTGCTATGATCAATTGTTTATGTTTTCTCTGTGAGAAGTTCACTGTTATCATGGCATTACCTGTTTGCACTGGAAGAAAGATTGATATTCTCAAAAATATCCCTCAACTGAAGTAACTAAGAGTATACTCTGTATGGTGATGTGATGTGTTCCTCAACTGAAACTGCTTAGGCTAAGTTTGTCTACTGAAACCCTCCTGGAGGTGCCCCCCAGAGTCCTTGAAGTTCCTCAGCGAATCCCTGGTGAAGGTTCCTCAAATACCCTCCAGCGCCACGATCAGTACTGCGGGTCAGCTGGAGACGGCAGCAACCCAAACACATGCATTAAGGTTTCCAGTTGCACTTGTTACAATAATCATAAACTCCTTTTTGATATAATCTGATGTTGCCATTGATTTGTTTTATAATTTGTGAGTTATTTGACAGCTGGTGATGTAGAATGTTACAAGGGATGAGCTGTGCTGGGTATGACCATAAATAGTGTTTGTTGTGTTTTAATGAGTTTTTCTAAACTTCGAAACTAGCCTGACATACCTCATATGATCCCTTATGTATAGTAAGTAGAAATCTCAACATACTGGGGATGTGTTTTTATGTCTGACAGGAGCCAATGATGGATGTTAGCTCAAGTTTTGCAATACCTTTTGTGAGTAGGAAGTCTTCATGTGGTGAAAAGGAATCTTAACTTTTCTTGTTTTACCAGTGATAACTTGGCATGTTCTTAGGGGATGCCCATATACCATGGAAGGAATTGTAGAGTTTGTTACAGTACAGGTAATTATTATGGGAAAACTAGAGACCTCGGAGTGCATTTGGCATAATCATGCACTGATTCCTATAATTTTAAGTAGATGTGTAATTAATATCACCTTTTGCATTTTACTTTTGTGATTCTTGACAATTTTGTGACAAGGTCAGTGATTTTGAGCCATTGCACTTTTTTTAAATAAATGATTTCCAGACATGGAAAAAGCATCCTCTTGGAACAGAAGGTTCTCGACATGCAAGAGGAAACAAAAAAGTAACTGCACTTGATGAGGTATACAGGTTCCTTGGCAGAGCACCTGCAAGTACTGTACTTAGGTTTCTGGCTACATACTGTACTGTAATTGGAATTCTGGCACATTACCACTGGGCTTGTCACATGCTTTGTAATATAACAGGAAGCAGTACATTCACTAGATTCATCATAATTCAAACAAAACCTAATAATGGAATTTTACAAATTTTGTTACAAAAAACATTTTCATAGTCAGGGTAACATTAAAACTTGTCGTGAATTATACTCTTATTGTGAGTACAGTATATAGTGGAGTTCTGAAACATATCACCAATTCTTCTGTGGATCTGAAGATGTAAAAGGATGTGATATATATGTTAATTGATACTCTTTATGAATTCTGCAGTCACTGTAGTATTTTGAGATGCTACATTGGCATTCCTGCAGGAGGAAGCCTGATGGACTTAGATATATATAGATAGATCTACTGAATGTACAGGTTGTACTATGTATTGTTGACAGTTGTTTGTTCTAGTGCGATCCTTCGTGAGGACTAATTACCTTGCAGTTTGAGAATTCCTATCTTAGAATGTGGGAATATATGTCTCTCATAGCTACAGTATATGTACACAGTCATGGATTATCAAAAGTATTATGGTTATTAAATGTAAGAACCATGTCCAGTTCTATGGTGAGAACGAGTATTCCTGGTCTCGTAGGGCATTCAGGCTCCAGGGAAATTGTGTGAATTTGTTAAAGCACATTAACAAAAGCAGGTTTTAACCACACTTAACTGCCAGCATCTTGTAATGGAATTGGATCTCATGCTATATGGGGAAAGTCTTAACCACTACATGGAAAACTGACCAAATGGTGCTACTAGGTGGTTGATTTATTTTTTTCTCTGTTTAAGTGTTTTTGAAAATATTTCAGTAGAACTTTTCAGAAACTATTGGGAGAAAAATTTGGGGTTCTGAAATTGTAGTGAGAAGTTGGGGGTGAACATGATGACAGTAGTATATAGTGGCAACCACTTCGTAGGGCAGTATTTCTCACACAGTAAAGCTGGTGCTGTCGTTGCTGCCACAGTACACATGCCACTTGGGCTATGCAGTTGTCATAGTTCATGGGCCAGTATTAGTGTCACAGTGCACTGATTGTGATGCTCTACTGTAGGAAAACCTGGCCTGCACATAATACTACTTGACTGTAGTTATTGACTTTGCCCCCACGTCTGCTGGACACTAAACAGCTGCAAGTGAGCAATAAAAATTAATAACAATACCATCTGTGTGCCTAAATTTTGTGATAGATGGATGGTCTTTTTAAAAGATCACATTTTTTCAGGGCTCAAGTAAACTAGTTCAAGGGGATGTTATAGAGTTAAAAATATGATATTTCTAAATATTTTGCTGTCAGTTTCTTAGTTTCATAGACCATAGCAGTGCTATGTGTTCTTTTGATAGAAATTTCATGCCACTCATTTCACACACAACCAACGATTAAACCATAGAACCTACTACAACCAATATTGGTAACCTTGGTAACCAGGATGCAAATATGGCAGTTTCACAGCAAAACTGGATTCATCTCTTTGTAAATGTTATTACCTGTACATATGTATTTTGGCTTCACCTTTTCCAAATGTGAATGGAATGCTTTTTGAAAGTGTTTTTGATGTAAAGAGAATAGAGTTTTTATTTCATAGATGAATTTTATATGACGTGTGCTAAAATTTTGGAACCACCAACAGTAATTTGTGCCATCAAAAGTGAGTACAAAGTTAGCATTTAGCTGTTCTTGTGACGGGTACGAATAAAACAATATTCCTGATTTGTACTCAAGAGTACTAAAACTCAAGTTTCAGAAACTACCTTGTGAATGCCCTTTTTAAAATAAACTTCATATTATCCATACCAGTCTTATGATTGGTTTCCAAGTATTATTAAAATGAGCACTTGCTTAGGGCATACTCAAGGTAAGGCCTGGAGGTTGGATATAAGGCACTAGTCACCCACATGGCGTTTAGTGGCGTGTTTGGATGGCAGGGATGTGGGAACTGTTCAGAGCAAAGTTTAGTCCATGTTAATGTTAAAATTGTTTGAATAATGAAAAAATAAAAAAATAAAAATTGATGCTCTCCTTGATGTCAGAATGTTACAAATTTTGTCATTAATTGCATCACATGTGTTTGTGACAATGACAGTTGAAAGTGTTTTATAATGCTTTAATTGTGTGTGGTTTATTTATGATGGAAGTTTTTATTAGATTTATATGAATTTATATACAGTACACTTTAGTTCAAAGGAATTAGTACACTTTAGTTCAAAGGAATAATAAAATACGATAATTTATTTTCACATTTTTAACATTTACTGTCACATGAGGTATTGTATCAAAACTTTGGAAAATGTATGGATAAATCTTAATCTTTGCTTTAAACAGCTTTCAATTTAATGCCATAGAAAGCAGGCCAACTTGTTTGACACTTGTCCGATCCACAGTTTGGTTTTTAAACCGTTCAAGGCACAACATCAATGACTTTTCCATGCATTATTTTTTATGAAACGGATAATTGGTTTAAAGAATAAAATTATTAAACCTGATAGAGTAATAAACATCCAGGTTTTTTCTGTCCATTAGATTATAAAACCAGTCAAATTGGAGTGTTATCCATCAAGTGTATACAAATGGTATGGAATTGTCACTGATGCTAAATTAACCAACAAATTACAAACCTGAGTGTTGTTATCAATGTTAATAATCCCTACAGTTCAACAAAGCACATGTGGTTGTTACAGCAAATGATGGGTATCATTCCAGTGTTCTGTAAGTGTTGCTTTTACTTAGAATATAAGTTACATCCTTTTCATTCCTTACCAAAGAGATTTTTTTTTCTTTAAATCATGTTTATAAATACCAGGCACTTAGATTTTACATATGTAGTTTTATAATCTGAGTTTTATCCCTGTACACTTTGTTTCTCCGCTGATTACTAATGCACGTTTGTACCACATTTGCACCACAGCTGTTCCACAAGTGTAGCCTACCACACCTGTAGCCTACCACTCCTGTACAATATTTGTAACACATGCTATATCACAGCTCATAGTTGGAATCCCTCACAGTCTCAGTTCTATGGGTAAGAGGAAGGTGATGTTTACTGCTACCTGCATCAGGGTGAGTTTGGCCATTAAAAAAAAAAGAAAGAAAAAGAGACAAAAAAAAAATATAACTCGCCCTCATGATGATTGGTGGTTTGTGTCATCTTCCCCTGACCCATACAGTTAGCTTCGGGCAGAGCAAGTGTTACCGGGTCACTAAATAAAATTTTCTTACTGCGCTTGAAGAAGTTTTAATCTTACTGTCTCCTGCAGTGGTGTATTTTTAACCCTGAAATTTCCACTGGTGATGGTTACTGTTTAAAGGTTATTTGGACTTCTACTGGCAGGTTTCTGAAGGATATTGTCAATAAAATACTGTACAAGCATACAGTAGCTCTTACAATACTATTTCATTGTAGAAAATAGTTCTAGGGTAAATCTTAACTATATAAAAAACTATGATCAAAAGTTATTAACAATTCAATACTTCCACGTGAGAACAATCTATGCACTCAGATAATGAGTGATATAAGCTGATTGCCGCTCAGCGCCCATCCTTCACCAATTTGCAATTTAGGTACTTATTGAGCTGATTACTTTGTGATCATTTTCATTGGTTTGATACCCAATTGTATCCTATGGTCTTTCAATGATATTTTGTAGTTGTTTTCACATTGTAAGTACAGTACAGTACAGTACTGAAATTATTAAACGTTACTGTAATTTCCAATTACAAGTGAAAAGGTGTTTGTGGCCAAATAAAAATAGCCAAGGAATACCCCTTGTCCCTATGGCCAAAACTGAAAACTTTGATTTTGTTCAGTCTCAACACAGTATAGTGTAGGTATTCATCAATACCCTGATTAAGGATATGGGGTAAAAAAGTGTAATAGCTAATTATTTACATTAATGAGAATATTGTTATTTCTATAGCTACTAAATCTATTGTTTTTATTACAGGTTTTAACTTGTGTTACTTATGGGAGGTTTAGCTCATAGATGCATACCTGTTGTGTGGGTAAGTGACAACAACGAGAACCAGTTCAGCTGGCAGGAACGGCAGATGTTAGGAAGTGTTTTGTGTTGAGTCATTTAAGAGGTTATTTAGGTGATAAAATAGCATAAAACATTAAACAATTAAAACAAATCGTGACCAAAAACTTCTAAGTTCCAACCCTGTATATTCGACAATGCTATAATATATACCCTACTGATATTCTGAAGAGTGGGTCGTTAGCAATACTAAATGCATTAAATATAGAAAGCTAATAAATAATCAACATTGACAAAAGAAAGACAGGTCAAGGGAGCAAATAATAGAAGCACAGTAATTGCAGATGGTAAGAAGAGTGAGCCATCCTCCTACAGCATAGAATCATTGGTGTAATAAAAAGGGGCACTAATATTATAAAGCCATGTAAAGGTGCATTAGAATGATGCCAAAGGTGACGTAAATGTTTTTTTTTTTAATTTAAAGTTTCATTGTAAACATCGTCAGCTGGAGAGATTCAACTGAGCGCTTGTTATAAATACCAGATAATAATATACCGTCAAAATTGAATACGATATGGGAATTATGGTTAAATTATTGTAAGATTTAATAGATAATATGATGATATGGAATGAAAATTACTGAAATGTTTTTATTGTAAGTTTTTTCGGGCTCTCAGTTGACCCCTGAGGTCCAGCCGCCACAACTCACCAGTGTTGAACAAATTTGAAGTTGTGTCTTAAGTTTGGTCTATTGTCGTGGCTGTGGGCAACTAACCTCCTCAAGGTATCTCCACAAGGAAGACAGTATAAGCCCCGTTTGTTAAATAAAGTAAGGTACGATAAGATATAAGAGGTGTTGAGATAAAGACAGTAGTTATGGTCAGGGTGACGGTCATGATGGGTCTCTTTATGATGCAATACCTGTGTATGTAAGGTTAGAGCCTTAGATAACTTTCACATATTTAGAACATTTTATGGTTCATTGGAAGATAAATCTGAGTATGTTAGAACATATAAAGCGCTTTCTTTAGATGTGTCAGGTACAGTATCTCTTAAGGTCAGTGCTTTAAACCATTAGTAACTCGGTGTTGGTTTAGCTTTATGACGGTTCAGAAGGAACACTGTATTCCTGTTTATGTTTAAAGTAACAATTATAACTCTGTACTGACTGTTCCTGCTGAGGTAAATTCATTTGGTTATAGTATTGGCAGTAGATATTTTGCCGTGACTAGCTAAGTTCTTTATAACGCTATTTTACCGTGATTGCGCTCTAATTGGCTAATCGTCCTTTACCGTCTAAGAACTCGAGAATGATATGTGACCGTGATTTTGGCGGTATTTATTTCGCTAACTTTACCTATCTTCCTATCCAGGGGACAGACCCCCCCCCCCCTTCCCGTCATATTAAACAGAAAGTACTTAGCCAATCAGAGCACACTCACGGTATAATGACGTTAGTAGGAACTTAGCTGGTCAAGGCAAAATATCCACTACATAATGAAAAATATATTAAAGAAAGCTTATTTCTTACCTCAAGAATTAACTAAAGTTGGTGAAGGAATTGCTGATTTTTACCCCAAGTTTTATCCTAAAATGAAGACCATGTGTGCTTGTTGTCAACCCAACTGAGCCGAGTTTTCACTTGAACTAATGCTGAGCGGTGGAATGCATTTCAGCAACCATTCCAAAACAAACTGTTATGTTAACATCCTAACCTTCCCCAATCTTATATAATCTAACTTACCTTAACCTAACTAAAACTGCTAATCCTTGCCCATTTTGGGAATAATCTTCAGAAAAATGATTCATCACCTTACAAAAAGTTTCTATAGTGGCTATTTTTTAGTGAATACGAAATGCAAGGGGTTGATGTCTACCAAATGTTCCTGCTCACATAAAAACAATTGAATCACTAACATGGCATCATTGTTGGGTGGATGGGACAGACTACCTTTATTTACGCTAAGAACTTGGAAAAAAAACGAAAATGAAAAAAAAAAAACTATATTCCTTCACCTGAGTCGGGTTATTGTACTGGTAAAAAATAAGTTTTCTTCAATTGCAATTTTTTGTCAGGTAGCTGCTTAAACGAGACCCAGTGTCATTAAGTGTTACCAATCATTAATTTGTGCTTTAATTATTATAATACCTAGTACAGTAATAATATAATGTAAGTAAGTGTCTGTACATCAACAACCGTTTAGGTAATACTCTGGAACAGTAATACAGATAAACCAGGAACTGTAGACAATTTTTGTAACATTATAATACTTTAAAGTCTTAAGAAAATTCCATGAAATGATGAGGCTTTTAAATTTGTATGATATTGACTTTCTGATTTTATTTTTTATTTATTTTTTCATCCTGAACACTAATCTAAGTTGACATGCTATGGTGTCATATTCACTGTTTACATGCCGAGGTTTCTCTTCATTCACACAAAAACTCTTCCAAACACTACTAGCCAACTACTGTACTAATTTGTGTAAGGGAGCCATTTCAACTTATTTACTGTAGTTGTCATGTGTTGGTTTGAAACTGGATTTTCCAACTTTTAATTTTTTGTTTGATATTTTTGTGTCAACAGATGGAACCAATGACATTAGGCAGTCCTGTTGGGTCCCCCACAGCTGCTCCTCACGCCCCACCTGTCACCACCACAGCCAGTTCTTTCTTCCCGTCTTTTCTTATGGGGGATGTGGCGTCTCCAGCAGTATCAGTGAGTGTCTCTTATATTAATGTATTTATTATAAAGTTGTTAGTGTTAAGATCACTTGGCGTCTCTGAGGTGGACAAGTATAATTTGGATCTTAGTCGTCCTTACGAAAAAATTTAGGATCTGTATAAATGAGAGGTAGGGTCATTATATTGGGTATAGTGTTAAGGATCTAGTACAGCGGAATTCCCATCTAACATGTTGATGTCTCCTAAAACTGAACTGACTTACTGAGACAGCCCTATTATACATGACCTGACAGGCTGACTCATGACGCCAACATTAACAGCATTATTGTCAACCCTTGTGACCGAAAGCAGATTGATCCCGATGTCACAAGCTGTCACATCTTAAGAGGAGGGGATTGATGATGGGGAGAGGATGTTGTGCCCAGCAAGACAAGTGTGGCTGACATGCAAGAAATCTCCCAACCTGATTGTAGGGAGGATGCATTCACCCTCCCCCCAGGATCTACACCATTGATGTAATGAACTAACGTAAGTGTAACTATTTCAGAGTACACGTGTAGGAGGCGGCGGAGGTGCCAGCCCAAACAAGACAACTCGTCAGTTTTCCTCATCAGCAACAGTGTCAACGCCAGGATCCCCACAGCCAATGAGAGATTCCTTTTTCATCTCCAGGTACTGTGATATTTGATGGCTGTTTGACTCTGTGACAGTGTTTTTATAGTAGCTGTAATGTGTCTACTGATTCTGATAAAGATTATATTATGCTGATGCAGTGTATGTATATAGTAACAGATTATGCTTTAGTTTAACAAGTCTACAGTACTAATTCTGGTGAAAGGAGGTTAGGTTGATGCAGTGTGAAGAGAATAGATCATGTTGTAATATGGAACTTGTAAAGGAAAAGGTTGTTACTATGCTTATGAAGTTACACATGTCCCCCATAGCAACATTTAAAAGTCATTTAAGAACATAAGAATATAAGGAGTCTGCAATAGGCCGGTTGGCCTGTGCATGGCAGCTTCTGTCGAGAGTTACTACCACTCTCTATCATCCATGAATCTATCTAGCCCCCTTTTAAAATTTTCCATCATTCCAGCACTTACTACAAAGTTGCTAAGCTTCTTCCACTCGTCCACCACCCTATTTGTGAACCAGTTCCTTCCTATTTCCCTCCTAAACCTAAACTTATCCAACTTAAATCCGTTGCGACGAGTCCTATCCTGCTCGGATATTATAAGAACTTTATCTATATCGCCTTTATTGATTCCTTTCACCCACTTAAATACTTCTATCATATCTCCCTGCACTCTTTGTCTTTCTAGGGAATGCAAGTTTAGTTTCTTTAACCTATCTTGATATGGAAGGTTTCTAAATCCCGGAATCATTTTCGTCATTCTTCGCTGCACCGACTCCAGTGAATTGATATCCATTCTATAATAAGGGCACCAGAACTGAACAGCATAATCGAGGTGCGGACTGACTAGCGCAAGATATAGTTGCAATATGACCTCCATTCTCTTATTACTTACTCTCCTAGATATAAAACCTAATACACTACTCTGTTTGTCTTAGTCATGAAACAGGATTGCTTACTTTAGTTCATACATCAGATGCCTTTATAAGAGAGCTACACTTGTCAGAAGGCTCAGCCATATCATTAGTGTTGATAGTGTACAGTTTATATTTAATTACACCATTGTAAAAAAAAATTTGTACGGTTAATTACCTGATACTGTATTTGTATTTCTGTTTACATTAACTCTGCTGCACATTGTTTGAAATTCAGGACTTAATACTTTTGTTTATGTTCTAGATTGGGGCCAGACAAACCTGGAGGACCACCAACACAGAGTTTAATGGGTGTTCGAGGTCCACCTTCATTGCCCCAGTCTCCAGTTCCTGCACGTCTAGGTAGTCCCTATGTTGATCAACATGTTTTAGGTATGATAGTTTATGTGGTTCTTTATGTGTCTGGTTACTAAACTTTATTCCATTATATTTGGTGTTACTTTGTCTGGTTGCTGATGTAATTTTCTCGTCATAATATTTACAGTAGTGTATGTATCACGGTCTTCAATAAATACAGTTTGTCTTTGAAAAATGCATATACAGTACACAGTGCCTTGCAGATTTTGGTGATCATGTGATTGTTTGTATTACAAGAGCATCATTGTACTACCTGTATTTCTATACTGTACTGTGTGTATTTTCTGTAAGTGGATGTGTACTTTCATTGTATTTGTATTGCATTTATGGGCCAGCATTGTGTAGTGGGACCAATCTTCAGTTGCATTTCAAGGAGTAGCTACAGTAGTGGTAACATTTTATTGTCAGTCTATTATCACTTTTGGGATGTAAGCTGAATTAGCTACTCTTCCTACTTCTGTTATTGTTACTTAACAGAACTTGACTCATTCATTAATATTCTGTCAAAGGTAAGAATATTCATGTACAGTGGTCCCTCGGTTAACGAGCACAATTCGTTCCAGAAGGTTTCTCGTTAACCGAAACCATTGTTTCAGTGGGTTTTTGGGTAATTGGTTCCAGTTCACTGAAAATTACATACAAACGAAAAATAAATGCAGTAAAGTACACTTACTTTGAGGTGTGCATGTAGAAGGATCCTGGTTGATAATGATGATGATGGGAATTAGAATGGGGGTGGAGGAGAAGGGAGAAAAGAAGGCATTGGGGTGGAAATGAAGTCACCCCATGCAGCTATTTCACCCATAAAATTTCAGTTCACTTGGTGTAATTCAAGATTATTTTCTTTAAATCAACACTGCACTGTGCTATATATTATCATTATGTAAAATATATTTCAAAATGACCAATAATTTGACTGGAAACAGAAAAAAGCATTTATGTTGAAGAGTCTCAAACAAGATGTTCCTTCCTCTGAACCTGTAAACAAACTGACGCCAAGCTTGGTGTGTTGAGTGGCTGTTTGGCGCGCATAAAACTAGTTTCCTGTACTTCAATTATGTTCAATAATTGTTAAAATGACTAAAAAAATTAATATAAAACTTTTAAAATGATTGAATAGTACAACCTTCTTGATATTTACTAAATTCGTAAGGAATTTAAGCCCTAGAACCGATTACTGTATTGGCGGACTAATACGACAGCTAGTGAGCAAGCGAAAACATGTTGATGGGCGCTCGTAAGGAATTCGTTAGTCGAGGGATTACTCGAAGTGAAGAATCTTATGGAAGGTAATTCGTTAACCGAGGCGCTCGTTAACCGAGGGATCACTGTATAGTGTAATGTCCATCACCTGAAATTGCCTAAATTATGGCTGTAGCATCATAATATCCTCTACAGGTACACCAATTGGAGGGTTTGGCTCACAGTTAACTCCTGGTGGATATGGTACTCCTGGCTCCCCCTTGCTCTCCACCTCCCAGTGTGCCTACGGTAGTGCCGTCTACACACCCTCTAGAGATCATTCTAGCTTCTTTGGCCAAGATTCATTACAATTGTAAGTATTGATTAATGGAGAGTACACTACAGTACTTGGTTTTTACACTCATAGAGATGCTGCTTAATATTTGAGTCATTATATAAGTTTATATTTACATTACATTACCTCTCCAGATTAGTTTTCCTTAGAGTGCAATTAAGACTCATGTAAAACACATATCTCAGTAGTTATTGGCCCTTGGTGACATTGGACATACAGCACCCCAACTTCTGATAACCTCTCCTGACCTAAACAAACAGCCTGAGAGGGAGAGATAAAGACTTCTCAGTGAGTCTCCTATTAACTGATAACTTGGTCATCACACTCAGGGTCCCTTCATCAGTTTGAAACTCATGCTCCCTTTAGGTCATTGCTCCTCTGTACAGTACTTGTGTCTAAGTTTTGAGCAAGTGTGGCATCATCCAGCACTTGTATTCATAGGCTGCCTGAGTTACATAATATACTAGTGTTACTAACTGTTTAACCTTGTTAGTCTTAAGCTCAGTCCATTTTTGCCTCCCTCCCCTTTCATTTTATAACATTTAACAAATTATTCATTACAGATTAATTAAACAATTTTAAAAACAATTTGTGACGGTGAATTATTTCTGGTGGTGACATATGGTATGATTTTATGGTTTGTGAACACTCCAGGATATTTGAAACAGTATGGGGGAATATCAGTCCATATCTCATACAGGGTATATGTGGCCCCAAGTGCACAAGGTATGTGTGTAGGACTGAGAAGGTTAAAAGTAGCCAATCTATCTAATAAGAAACATTTAACAGGTTTATAATAGTGTATATTTAATCTTGTCACACAGGTCTGTAAGTGATGTCATGGAAGACACTTGGGTAACAGTGTTTGGTTTCCCAGCAGCAGCAGCTTCATATATACTGACTCAGTTCACACAGCTGGGCACCATCACTGAACACCGCAACCCTGGGTCAGGAAACTGGATGCATCTGAAGTACCAGGTCAGAAAAGATGCTACGGTATATCTGTACAAGTAATTTAGAGAAAAGGCCAACAGAATAGGCTGCTCCTAGCTTCACCTGTGTCCCTGTGGTCTTACAGTTATGTGCAAGTTAGTGCTTAGCAAGGCACCACTGAAATGTACTTCATCAATATACTGTATAATATAATCAATGAAGTTTGCTTTATGTATTAGTGTTGTTTTTGTTGTTTTACTAATTTATAGAAACTTTTTTAGCACAATTTCTTTACTGTATGTTGATGAATTTACAGACAAAACTTCAGGCCAGAAAAGCATTGAGCAAGAATGGGAAGGTTTTCAGTGGAAACATCATGGTTGGTGTGTTGCAATGCAATGACAAGGTTAGTCTCTAGGGAAACATTCACATCATTCCTGGCAAATCTTTCACGCTGCAACAATCTTATTCATATTGTATGATTCACATAATTTATTTGAATAAACCTAGTAAACTAATGTTATTTGTGTATGTCATTGAGAAGACACCCACATAATTTAAGTTAATTATTTCATGTATCAGAGCAGCAGTTCATGTAGAATATGCACACATCATTGTTGCTGCATCTCTCAGTGTTCTCATCTTGTAGATTTGTCATAATATGGTCACAATTGAGGGTCCTCACCTTGGATTTTGTAGACTGATTTGAAATAATTGTCACTTAAGGTTTGTGTCTCATACAATTTAATCATACCACAGGCCTATGTGTATGTAATGTAGTATTTAATTCAATACATTTAAAGTTTTGTTCCCATGCCATAATGCCGTTATTCATTATTAAGTTACCCCATTAATATGTTTGGCCTGTATTTATAGACTGCGAATAATTCTTTGTAATTTATCTTATTTCAGACAATCACAGGTGATAAAGAGAATATGTCCACAAACATGAGCAATATCATGTCTCCTGATAACTCCAGTCTAGTGAGCACTCCTAAATCCAACATGAGACCGCTGAGCCAGGCCTACCAGACGGCTCATGCTGAACACGAGGTATGGCAGAGAACTTCCTGTATACAATCTGAAAATATATACACTATAGCATCATTTAGTGGAATAAGGAAAAGTAGGCTATACTTTACAAACATAAATAATGTAGAAACTATACAAAAGTTTTACTATACACATAATGTATGGGATATACTTTTGCATGTATATATACTAAAAAGTTTACCTGCAATGGGTTTAGGTGCTTCCCCTGACCTCTCTACACTACCCTCTACTCGTCCCCCATCTCCCCTGACCCTTCCTCACCACTATCCATCTCGTCTGCTCATTCATCAGCATTACACTCTTTTGTTATTTTGTGTTTCCATGTTCCTATTTATTATATTTTATCATTGGGGTGTTACTAGGGTGAACTGTTCCACTATTGGTATGTACAGTAGCTAAAACAACTATCTGTGCAGGTGGGGGTCGATATGCTCCGAAATTTTACGCGTGACTAGTGACAGCCCTCATGTACCAAAAATTATCGTCCATGGTCTCGTATTGTTTCCCACAAAGTATGCACAGATAGTTGTTTTAGCTACTGTATGGGTATTCTTATCATTACACACTTATAAAAACTATTTTGTAATTATGGATAAGGCCAAAAATTACCTACAAGGAAAGGATGACCCATAAAGGAGTTTTTTCTTGTATTTCCAGACTCCATAAACTATTTGCTGTGAATCCTTAACACCAAAAGTTTAGATTTTCTAATGAATACTGTGATTTTTTTTGGGGGGGGGAGGGTAATTGGCATACTCGAGGGGTTAACAGGAGTTACTGGGTTTTGGGCTTAACTTAAAGATGAGGATTTCTGGATCACTTGTTCATTTAATTCTGTTGCATCACTGAAGGATGATTTAACCCATGTTCTTATTGTGTTACAGGTAATACCCAAAGTTAACACGCCAAAGAAGAATGACAGTCTTGTCTCCCGAGCAATGCAGCACATTTTAGGAATGTAAATGTATAAGTCGATCTGGTTTGTCTTTTTTAAAGTTCCTTTCATCCTGTCTCTAGCCACACTCACAGTGCAGTTCACTTAATGCTTCTTCTTTTAGTTCTTATGGTATATATATAAACCTTCTGTATATTCTATTTCTATCATAGATCATTTTTCTGACTTTTGTCTTTTATTAATTCTTTACTTCATATTTCCTCTTTGTACAGTAGTATATGTATTGTGAACACCTTCATTTGTTTTGTATAATTCTTTTCTCATTAATGTAGTGGTTGACTTGTGTGTACAGTATATTAGTAGAGCCAGTTTGCAAAATTCTTATTTAGGAAATTTCATGTCTTATTATGACATACTTCACTGGAAGTGTTATAATTAAGATCCATTCAAGATACTGTACTGTATTACAGACTTTTTTATATAAGAGTGTGTTAATCTCCTTTGTGTACTCTGTAAAAAGTGAGTTAAGAGGGAAAATTATATTCACTATATGTTACTGTATAACTACACATACTGTAATAGTATCCATTTATACTTTGAAACCAATTGCTGTGTTAACTTACTTCAATTGGTTCTTGTTAACTATTTGACAGTAAGTGTTAGGTATGTTTTGTTTTGTGTGTGAATGTTGACTGAGATTGATTTTTTTAAAAGTTTATACATTCATGTTTGAATTACCATGCAGAGAGTACGTGCCTGTGAGAGGAATTATTTTAAAGCCATTATAAATAAATTTTTAAAATAATAAATGACTTTCTGGCATTTTATGCCTCACCCTGAATGTGGAAGAAGCATGTAGTGTTACTTTTGTCAGTGTATATATGCTGTTTATGTATGAACTGCCTTTCTGAACTGTTGGCCATAGTCAGGAAATTTAACTTGTACAGTATCAACATCAATACACATATTTATTGGTTAACATGCATTCACAACACGTTTTCATTTTTACACTTAACAAAACGCGATCCATTTCTACTTTAACACAATCAGTAGACAGACTTGTCCTGGACAAAGTTCTTTTCATCTCCACTAAGAGTACAGTCCGTTCTCCTGTAACGTGGTAGTTGCGTCCCTGAAAAACTTCATCTGCCGTTCCTGCCAGCTGAACTGGTTCTCGTTGGTGTCACTTACCCACACAACGTATACATCAATGAGCTAAACCTCCCATAAGTAACACATCAAGTTAAAACCTGTAATAAAAACAATAGATTTAGTAGCTATAGAAATAATAATATTCTCATTAATGTAAATAATCAGCTAATATTAATATTACACTTATTAAAAAAAAAATTTCATTTACTTTAAGCTTTCTATGAAAAAAAAATATATATGCAGTACAGTATATATATATATATATATATATATATATATATATATATATATATATATATATATATATATATATATATATATATATATATATTATTAAATAAATATAAAATCTGTGCTCGTATGATACTTTTCCGCGAATTTGGTCGGTAAATAAACCAATGAGAGGCTGTTGTTCCGTCGGTCCGTACTATTGTCCGCAGATATTAACAACAGGGAACCAGTCTACTACAGCTGTAGCTTCGGAAATTTATGAAGGCTTCAGATGGCGAACTAAAGTTAGCTTAGTTTAGTAAATGTTAGCTCATAAAATGTTAAATTTATTTATTTTACAATGAATTTAGTTAAGAATTGGGTAAATTAAGTTAAGTTAAGGATACAATATTGTATGCATATTAATTTTCCAAAACTGTAGGTTAGGTTAAATTGAGGGTAGGTTAGCTTGTTTCATCATTAGGTGGAATCCTTAATCAACAGGTAAAATAAGCTGGGGTGGCTAATCTTCTGGTGAAATAAGCTGGGGTGGCTAATCTTCTGGTGAAATAAGCTGGGGTGGCTAATCTTCTGGTGAAATAAGCTGGGGTGGCTAATCTTCTGGTGAAATAAGCTGGGGTGGCTAATCTTCTGGTGAAATAAGCTGGGGTGGCTAATCTTCTGGTGAAATAAGCTGGGGTGGCTAATCTAAGGGTGAAATAAGCTAATCGGGTGAAATAAGCTGCTAATCAAATAAGCTGAATCATAAGCTGCTGGGGTGGCTTCGGGTGAAATAAGCTGGGGTGGCTAATCTTCGGGTGAAATAAGCTGGGGTGGCTAATCTGAAATAAGCTGGGGTGGCTAATCTAAAGTGAAATAAGCTAGGGTGGCTAATCAGGTGAAATAAACTAGGGTGCCTAAGCTTCAGGTGAAGTAAGCTGGGGTGTCTAATCTAAAGGTAAAATAAGCTAAGGTGGCTTTTCTTCAGATGTAAGTTAGTTTAGAAGAATTATAGCTGGAGTAGTGCCTTCGAACTAGACAATATAGAAAGAAAATGCATGGATATAACAGACCGGGTAGCACGTGGTCATAGCTATAAACGTGTGGGTCTTCGAGATACGACTGGACAGATTTACCGACGCTCGGCTCCACGTCTTCACGAGAGTCAATGTCAGGGTCGGATAAGTTTAATTAACTTAAAGTAAGTTTCATTATATTAAATTAGGTTAGGTTAGATAAAGATAGATGAGGTAATGTTGAATTTGTTTTTGGTTATTGTATGATTTAGAAATTGGTTGTGTTGGGATTGATTAAGGTAGAAACACTAGATTTGGAATCCACTCTTGTCGATTATTTATTTTTTTTACGCATAAAAGACAAAAGCATTGCTAATTGTACACTTAGGGAACAACTTAGTGAGAACTTTCACCTTTCAAACAGTGTTAACGTTCAAGAGACAAGTGGACAAACGCTGAGCATATCAAGAGCTGTGTGTGTGTCAAGAGATAGAGACGCTACTGTGTACTTGAATTATCTGTGATAGACTTGACTTGTCTGAGGATGTTTTGGAAGAAGTAATTTACTTTAATAGACCAGCCCAGCAGGTGGCCACTGTAAATTACAAATGTGATTTATAAATTAGTCTACCATTACTGATACTTCATTCTAATGATATTTAACTTACAAACATGGAAATGATATTGGGAGTAAAAGTTTGACGTTTAGATAATGTTTAGTTTTATATTTTGTTATAAGAAAGTCAGCGGCCGCCTCCCTACGGCTCAACACCAGGTTTCACAATCCCGTATCATTATTAATCGAATTTTCTCAGTATATTCGTCGACGACATCAAAATCCCAGATTGAAAGACTGTTCAACATGAAGACAGATCCACGCGAAAAGTTTTTTTTTTCCCAAGATCGGGTAATTTGTGTTCTGGTAAGAAAAAGTACAAAGAAAATTATCGTACCATAATTTTCCCTCCGTTTTCTTTGATAGTTGATTCGTGATTTATGAAAGGATGTCATGTTGTTTATTCAATCTACTAATTATTTTTCGGTATATTGCATTTCTTTTAAAATTATGATTATAACAAGAGTGTTGGTTCAAAGACAAGTACTGAATCTCATATAAGAATTTCTTCTGCGTAGAAAGCTTCTCAATTGCAATGGCTATTGAAAAGCCTACTTGGCACATGCGTACTGGGAACCCTTAAAGCATCAGCTTATGGGAAAAATAGATTTTAAGGCGAGATAAAAGAAAAGAGCATCTGCCATCCTGTGGTGGCTGATGTTAAACCCAAGTGTGTGTTGGTGTATAGTATTTCATCTCTATTGTTCACTAGCTTCCTCGAGCTTATTGTTGTGTTTTGACAGACGACGAAGACGACAGGGCACGGAGATGGTTTAAAAGAGTGAGAGTCTCCTGCTAGGAACACAAAATGCGAGAGTATGTAGGATTAAGACGGAGATAATTGAGAGGTAAGACGTAGCTCTTGTTTGCCATGTATATTATATAATATAAATACTTACCAACATTATAGAGTTGTTACAAACACAGTAAAACCCTCATGTATTAGGACATTTCCCAAGAATCTGATGATTAAAGTTTGTATTGCATCACAGTAAAACTAATGTCGCCAGGACGTAGTTGACAAGGTATATGATGCTCCAGTTTATTTCAATATGAATTTAGATATGTAAAATGTAAAATCTTTATAATTGATTTGATTAGTGTTAAGGTAATTTATCCTTATGTGAAAGGTTGAACACTCGGGAATTCATTAAAGCTTATCCATGGTAAATTACGAAGGGAAGACGTGTAGTTGAAACTTGTCACATCATCAAGACATTTTCGTGAGTATTGGCTGAGTTTACCTTCATCAGCACTGCAGGTGAACAAACCCTTAAAGGAAATGCTCAGAAGTGAGCCATGACTGTCAGTTTACCGTATATTCTAACACGATCTTCACTGTGTACGTGATAGAACTTGACTTGTCTCAGGATGTTTTTGGAAGAAGTAATTTACTTTAATAGACCAGCAGTGGAACTATTCACGTGAATAAAATGAAAAATAGAATAATCTATAAATTGTGATGAAAGATTCACCAGGCCAAATCCAGTAATGCTGTGCTCTAAATACAAAGATTAATGTTCATCATAGTCTGGCAGGTAATGTTCTTAAAGTACTGTACCACACATACAGTAATAGTTTAGATATTGTATTGTACAGATAAAAACATGCAGGTATATTTAATCAACATTTAGTTAGGTAATGTACCACCATATTCTAATACGTATACGATATATTTACTAGGAATTACTTTTCAGCACTTTCTTGTAATTTGGTGAAAATGTTATTTATCAGCAAAGAAATTTTTAGAGCAATTTCTTTTAGCATTTACATTGGGTTGAATGTTTTTATTACTAGGTAGGAGTTTGGCATACCTTTGCCTGTTGCTAACGTACCACCAGTCACATTGATACCCGGTGTGGTATTTTCTCAAGTTGTGCACAAACATTCATATTTATTTATGATTGAGTTGGTTGATACGGTTGCCATTAGGAGTGTAGTATTATCAGGCTGTCAGTTGATGGACTCTAGTCAGTCCTTTGTGTATTTTCCTCCTGAAGATAAGACATCCCAGCTTATTTCACCTGACGATTAACAACCCTCATGCTAACCTAATCTAACCCTAACCCTCTCCCTGGTGGCATTAGGATAGTTAATCTTGAGGTAAAATAAACTAAGATATATACTCTTCAAGTGATCCCATATATGGAACTTTGAAGATATTAACTGATTTAGTGTGTGTGTGTGTATGTGTGTGTGTGTGTGTGTGTGTGCTGATTTGACGGACCTTTTCCCTTTTTCACATCTAATAAAAGGAGCTTAAAACCCTAACCACAAATTCAGTCTCTTATACATTGGCTGTGGTGAAGGTTAGCTGCGGTAAACGTCCTTGGTATAGAAGCTACATGATTTAACGGGACCTATAACATATCCACACCAGGTATCACACATTTCTTCTCTTGGTAGATGTCGTTATTGTCCGATGAATACTTCCTCTTGTATAAATCTTTGTCGTGCTGGGTTAAAAAGGCTTTCCAGGGTACAGTAATAGCTTTCACGTTGATGGAAGCGAGTCTTGTAGGTAAGCATACATTGGAATAATCATTTTAGGTTAATGATATCAAGGGGCCACATGGGATGCTTTTTTATTATTATTATTAATGACTATTGGTGGGTATTTGTATTGTATTCACCTATAAATCTAAATGTGTAGCGACTGGTCATTCAGCTTATGTTTACAAGATGTTCCTTCCTCCCCTAATATACTCTACTTGTAAACCTATAAACACTCACAATGTACTTTACCTGTTTTAAAATTAATGCTGTACTGTATCCCCTAACAGATGCACTTTTATGTTTGGAATTTTGACAGCTGTGTA